TATACCATGATTGCTTCTTTTTTCCACCGGAGAAGGAAGATCGATGCAATGGAAGGGCACCCCAATGACTAGTGTCTTACTGGACAGAGGTAAGACGTTGAAGGTGAGGTTGAAATTTGGGTCGGGTGGATGGGCAACAGAAGATGGCGGCTTGCCATGTTGTTGCTTGTAGGGACATAGCTGGTACTTCTGTAGATAATCTGCCCAGCAGCGACCATGCCTAGACATTCTCCAGCCCCTATATCAAATCAGTATCTGTCCTAGTATAGTTTGAATCGACATTGGACTTACCTCACAGTCAAGTTCTTGAAGTAAGCCCTGGTGTTATTGATGTCAGGGGACTCCAAACAAACTAAGTTTCTGTCTTCGTCGGTCATGTTGAGAACGACATGAAAGCACACCATGCAGTTGATCATCTGTAAGGCAGGTATTATGTGCAACCTTACTAAGTCACCCGCATTGCCAGCTAATCCGGTCAGTACTTTGATAATTGTTATGGTGAGAAAGCCTACCAGGAGGATTGAGCATGAATTCCCAAATTTCCAACAGGAAATCATCGTCATTGCTCCTTACGGTGGTCCTCACATTGACTAGTGCCAAAAGGACCAACATGGGTAGGCCGCCTGCACACAGTCAGTTTTAAGATAGGGCAACAGAGTTTCTACTCACCAACTTTAGCAAACTGGATGAGAATGGTTCCTTCGCGGATCCACAGATGGAAATTCCTCGTAGGTTCACCACTCTTCTTCAAACACTCGCACCATACTCGAGCGTTAGACCAGCCCTCGCTGACAATCAGCCTATTCAAACACAAATCAGGAAACTGTGAGATAAGATTAAATTTGACATGCATACCTATTTGCACGTACAAACAGCCTCAGACTGGCCATCATAGAGAAGAAGGTGAGAGTCTTTGTATGGTTCTCATAAGCATGGCACTGCTTTGCAAGGTTATACAGAGTAATCAGCTCCGTAGATGTCGCCATATGGATGCCATCCAAGGATTTGGAGTCTGCCAAAGCACGCGTAAGGGAGACAAGTGATCGCAGTTGCTCTGGGTCGGTGATGGAAGTCAACTGTTTCAAAAACAGCACTATCTGACGAGCATGCTTGAACTGCATCTGTACGATCCTCCAATTAGCGTAGTTGAACTCTATGGCAGAACCTTCCTCATAATCCCCCTCGTTGGTGTCCATAACATCTGCCTCCATTTCCCGACAATCCTCCGGTCCTTCACCCACTCCTTCTCCACCAACGTTGCCCTCCATCATGGCCAGGGCATTTGCTGCTGCGATGGCCTCCTGTTGCTCCCTCCAGGCTGGAGCAGACACCGTCCCAAGGCGTTCACATCCAGCATGCCACCCTCCACCAGGTTCTCCACCCCCTTCTCTGTGTCCTCTAGCAGCAAGACCCGATGTGCCGTGTGAGGTATATGGTTTCATCCCGAGGCGTAGGCATTCAGCCAAAGAGGGGATTTTGATCTTCGGGACATTGGAGGATATGCCCGAGCTCCCTACAACAGGGGTACCTAAGATATCATTAGCATATATAGTATGTTGTTCGTAAAAGAATGAACTGTGTGCTCCCTGAACAGAAGGAGTCGATACGAAGCCCTTTTGCTATAGGAGGATGAGTGGGGTGCTTCTCTTACTAGTCAGCTTGTAGGTACTCACCGACAGCAAGAGTTGCTCTGCAATATAATCCAGTAGGGTTTTACATTGAGTGGGGGATTGTACGAGTTCGTCAAGATCTGACATAGTGCACGAAGAGACCAGACTAGCAAGCAGGTCCCGAGATGTAGGTACTTGGGTTTTGATTTCCCGCAGCTCGGATTCATTCTCCAAAGTATATTTCATTCTTGACATAGCAAAGGTAAGAGGAAACAGTGCGAAAGAGCTATGAGCTGGCAGGAGAGGTAGGGCTTATTGCGCGGATCCGCGCAATAAGCCCTACCTGTGTGCCACATATACTGTACTCGACACTGTCCACCACAACGTCCACCTACACATCGCACACTTCATTGAGCTATTCAGAACCTCAGTGAAACATATAAGTACCCGCCTGTCATGTACTTATGAAATCCGGGTGAACCTGATCCGCCTTTACTAAACCTTTCTCGTTGCAGGCAGGCTCCTTCGTCGTCATGTCCATTTATGGACCCTTGTCACGCCCAGGACTTCGTCGTTCACCAACTAGACATGATATGACGTTCAGGTAAGAGGGGTTTCCAAGGATTCTAAAAAATAGATCGTTGATGAGGTATACAGGGAAGCTGAAGATGAATGTTGTACCATACAACGTGTCTCGGCGGCGTCTCGGTGTGTCCCGTCGGCCATGCAAAGCAGGTGTTTGGGAGGAGGACAGACCAGCGCAATGACCGTTAACAGTGCGCGGTCATTATCCAGTGAGTATGCTTCTACACGTGTAAACTGCATGGCTCATTCAACAGATGGATCTCACGCGAAGTTATCGGCGGATCAGCACAGAACGCGCACCTCGTCACCTTTCACCCGCTCAACCTGCCATCTCAAGTTGTCCTCCAAGGGTTGCCGGTGCACAAGATTGATCTATTCAAGACATCAGTGGAGCGGACCAAACGGTGGTGTCTCGGCACGTGTAGTCAGCCATGCAGAGCGGGTGTTTGGGAGGGGGGCTGACTCATACGATGGCCGTTAACAGTGCCCATCGATGTGATCTTTATTTGGTGAGTATGCTTATACAGGTGTAAACCGCACGGCTCACCTTCTCTATGATTCCACGGCCATGTTCCGCTTCCCAACCCTTGATCATTCATCGTCCACTGCAGGCTTGGAGTCACCCCGCCCTCGACGACGTACTAGCAAACGCATGCACGCCACATCACCAATACGACGCTCGATAACCTGGTACGACCATGGAGTTTGACAAGTTCTTGAATCCACACGGTCCGGTCATCGATTCTCGACGGGAGCAGCAGCGCGATGCGGCGAGCACAACATGTACACGAGATGGCAAACCTGGTAAGTCTATCGTCTTCGCGTCAACTTTCCATACTCACCTTGAGTCAGTACCGGTCTTCGTTTGGCTTACACGCTCCGATCCATGGCCCATGCACGACAAGTTGCAGCAACAGCACGCAAATGCATGCATGCCACGTCACTGACATGGCGCTTGACGACGACCTTGTATGACCGCAGCTCCGACACGATTTTGAATCCTTGACGTCTCCGATCGTCGGTCCCGGGCCCATGGGCATGCCCGTGCCCAGGACACAGCAGAGTGCACTGCAACCATGTCAGAGTACGCGCTGGAGCTCCTAGGAGCGGCGCGGATCCCCCGGGACGGCGGTGGAGATGCTGTTGCACAAGGCAGGGAAGCAACTGAGAATATATACAAAGATATGAGATGAATACACATACCTGTCGCACAAGGCAGGGAAGCAACTGAGAGAACAAGTCTGAGTTGCTCCCTGGTGCAACAGGCGACTATATAGTAGCTGAGTAATCCATCAGCAACACAAGGGATGGTCCAATGAGAGAGAGGGAGGCTCCTCGGGTGCCCGGCACGTGACCAGTGGAACAGCCTAGGAAGGCCGCGCAATGTGCGGAGGCCCTAGGAGACCCAAAAAGATAGGAGAATGTATGGATCTCCTAGGAAGCCCCGAAAGAATAGAAGGAGCGTCTGGGAGATCCTAGGAAACCTGAAAGGGAAAAACGAGCGTGTGGGGAACGCGGGGAAACAAAGAAAGACGAGTACTGGAGGCGTGCTATGACAAACCGCAACCTCTCCAGTCGCCGTCTGTGCACCCAACACCTACCACACCCGTGCGCCCGCCGATGCCTGCTGCCCCGTTGCCGGCCTCATCCGTTCCTGCCATGAACGGCGTGATTTCCGCGTCCGCGCCACCCCCACAGGCAATCCCGAGCATTGTCAGCGCTGGCATGGGCCTCGTGCTGCCTCCACCACCTGCGACCAAGGCACCGCTGCAGCCCGGCATGGTCCCGCAGCTGCCAAGAGGTTGCCCGCAAGTGCACACTGGACACGTACGTGCCGCCCTCACGGAAGGTGATGGGCGTCGAGTAACCCGAGTCCCCGCCGATGCTGCAAATGGAAGGCGCCAATGGAGGTGGGTGTCATGGCACGCCTCCAGTACTCGTCTTTCCCTGTTTCCCCGCATTCCCCACACGCTCTTTTTACCCTTTCAGGTTTCCTAGGATCTCCCAGACGCTCCTTCTATTCTTTTGGGCTTCCTAGGAGCTCCATATATTCTTCTATCCTTTTGGGTCTCCTAGGGCCTCCGCACATTGCGCGGCCTTCCTAGGCCATTCCACTGGTCACGTGCCGGGCACCTGAGGAGCCTCCCTCTCTCTCATTGGACCATCCCTTGTGTTGCTGATGGATTACTCAGCTACTATATAGTCGCCTGTTGCACCAGGGAGCAACTCAGACTTGTTCTCTCAGTTGCTTCCCTGCCTTGTGCGACAGGTATGTGTATTCATCTCATATCTTTGTATATATTCTCAGTTGCTTCTCTGCCTTGTGCGACAGTGTCTCTGCCGCCATCCCGGGGGATCCGTGCTGCTCCTAGGAGGTCCAGCGCATACCCTGACATGATCCGTGACAGGCTGAATATTGCTCTGTCTTTGGAGTATGCAAGCAAAACAAAACAACAGTGTCATTTTTATCATGCCCATGATCGGTTAAACCAGCAACCACTACATGGAGAACAACGAGAGCACATGTGGAGAGTCAAATCTTCTGTTACTAGAGACACCTTAGGAAAGCTGCCATTAGTTCACGGAATAAAAGTTATGGTGACAGAAAATATTGCAATCTGTAAAAAAATTGTAAATGGGTCCGAAGGAACTTTGCATAGCCTACATTATACTACAGATGAAGATGGCAACCAATATGCAGCTGTTGCATATATTCATGTTCCATTGTGTGGTATGCGCATCACTGACTTACCAGATGATGTTGTGCCAATATTTCCTGTTCGCTCTTCATTTCAGTACAAATCTCCAAATAATGGCCCACGGTTCACTATTAGTAGAACACAGCTCCCACTAGTTCCTGCTTACTCTTATACAGACTACAAAAGCCAAGGAAGATCATTATCCCATGCTATTGTTGATCTTGCAAGCGCAAAAAGCTTACAGGGTGTCTATGTTATGCTTTCACGTGTCCGAAACTTAAAAGGACTTGCTGTGTTACGTTGGGTCCCACCACAACATATAAATCAACGATTGTCAGAGGAGATACGTGATGAACTGACTTGCATCCAATATCTGCATGAACAAACTATGACTCAGGAAATGTAGTGCTTGACGAATGTCATAAACACTTACTCATGACACTGACAAATGTGGCATTTGACGACTCAGATGCTGATGTACTAGTATGACTAAGTGACTGTGACTCAGGTTATAATCCGGACATGACTTGTTATGACTCTATGGAACGTTGTAGAATATTATAGACCACTGTAGGGACTACTGGAAAATTCTAGTACAAGTACGATCTAGGGGTTCTTACAACGAACACTTTCAACTGCTTGATGTTGCACCATGTGATTACCGTTTAGATGACAAAGGCTTGCTGACAAGTTGCTGGACTACATGACAGATCACCCATCGAAGTTTGAATAGTGCAGAAGGTCCAACGAACTTTGATGACCTCATTGTCTACCATTATACATCATACAGAACATTATGGAACAGCGACAAATAACAAGGCGAAAGAAATTGCTATGGGACTTGGTGCCTATAAAAGGAGATAGGACCCACAAACTGCGTCAGTCTCAGACACACACCTCTGCTTCATCTCCCATACCAGATAATGTCTCTCACTGGTCGCAAAGGTGTTTCCGACCTAATCGCTCGCTGGACTGATCATGTCTTTCCCGCCAATCCCACCGTACCTTTGTCGCATCTTACACACTCCATGTTTGATAACAAACCTGTGATGAGAAGAGAAGGACAATTTATTTTCGCATTTTTCATTTCTAAATATGGACTTATCATTTTCCTTTTCCCACCTTTCCTTTTCCAAAGTCACGTGACCTTCAGTGGCAGCAGTACAGCATCATTGACACTGCCCTGCACTGCCCTGCACTGCCTTGCACAGCCACCGGAGTTTTGTTCCGCTTACTCATGAACAATGACTCGTTATTCCTTCTAACTCCTTGATTCATAATCCTGACCCACCAAAGTGGGTCGGTCTTACTCATCCTTGTGCCCTGCATGTGATTCTCTTGTACTATTCTTGGACCATGTATTTGTGTATATAAGACCCCTGTAGCTCGCCCTAAGTCCCCATCTCGACCTCTTGTGTCTTGGGGACTTAGGTGAGTAACCGTCTCTGTACTAGATACTATGCTAACTTGTGTCTTGGGGACTTAGTGTGTGACCTTGAGTCCATTAGGTGCCTATTGCGTCGCTGTCGACCTCGTGTCCAGTGACCTTGAGTCGAGCTCAGCTCCTCTTTATCTGCGTATACTCTTGCCTATAGTAAGTGACGACGACGCTGCCTTTCCCTCCGACTCTACCCAATTGCTTGGACATTCCGACTGTCTAAGTGATTGGTAACCCCAACGGGCGTTCCCCTGCACGTCGCTCGTCACAAACACCTCAGTCACCCACTTGGAGTGACTATATTGGGTGGAATTTGCCTGTCACTAATTCCATCTAACATGGTACTAAAACCATGGTCCTGATCATTTTGGCCATCCATAATGGAAACTCCAGTCTATATGCCATATGGTTCTTCCATCACCTGGCCTGGTATCCACCATTTGCATGCTGTAAATGCTCATAATGGTGTGATGTGTATCCTGGGCATGTTGCAATGTACATGGCTGTTCATCAAGGCCAGCAGGCCCATTTTCCAGGCCCATTTTCACCCTCCCTGCTGCATTGGCCAAAAACTGCTGGTAGGAATGTGCAATAGTATGTAGCCCTTGTCAGGAAATTGGGATAAGCTATCTACCTACCTGTAAGCCGTATGGGCGGAAAATCAGTACCAACAAATGGAGCTACCAGCTGGTAGCTCCAGGGTGCCAGGGGTCTCCACAGGGAAACCCCCACAACCACGTCCCCATCTGTTCTGCCGATGCATGAAACCATATGTTTCAACTTGTGAAGCTCTCTTCATGCAACCTTGAACTTAATTATGGCAACGGGACATGGGAATGTCTGTGGTAACACCACACAATCTCAGAGCTGCACTCGTCGCATCTCTACATGCATGACGTAGATGCAGCATCCTGATGCCGTCGGTCATATTTTCAGACTACTGTACTTTTACGACCATAAGTTCAAGCGGACCCCTTGGG